TACAAGTGACTGGTACACAAGAATTTAAGGGCATATATATTTGATGTTAACTGGGAAATTGGAAGGCAAGAAAAATGTGACAAAGGGCCTCAGTCAGCAGTATTGAAAGCTATACACATAAAAGGTCCAAGCCTGTGCCCAGGATCCAGGGTCAAATGGAAAGAGATGGGAAAGCACAGTGGCCTGTTATCAAGTGGAGTACATAGTATGTGGTTATATGGACCAGTAGTATGATTTAGTATAAGATAGGTCTGTATGTAGATTGAATGGTATATATGCAGTAGGGAAAAGATTTGTTTGATTAGACAATTCCAGAGCATTCATAGGTTTTAAAAATCTTTGAGAGTAACTATTTAATACTCTTGCTTCATATAGTTAAGAAATAATATTCGTACAAAACAATTATGATTCTTGGTTGCAAGGAATTTCAACCATCCTATTCAACCATTTAATCTTTTAACTTCTTTGCATAATTTAATTCCCAGAAGAAAATACCTTAGCATGGATATTCTTTTTTTCAGAATATATGTACTAATCTACAAAGCACCCAAATTTATTTTTTCTTTAGTTCATGTATTTTCTCAATGGAGCTCTTCACCAATAACTACTGTCAATACAAAATTTCAGCCTCTCTCTTTTATTTCCCTTGAATAATAATAATTGGCAAAAAACGGAAACAGTAACATTCTGCTTAAACTTAGCTTCTATAAACATTTTCTATTACGACCTTTTTCTACACAGAGAAATTAAGGCACAGACCTTAAGAACTGAGCCTATAGTTCTTACTGCTCTTATTAATTTACACTGGATAAACCTCTAGGCTTTCTTTCAGTGACAGTGTATCTAAGTGTATCATTCTCCCACAAAAATCCCTAATGAAAGAAACAAAATTTAAGCACTGAACTAAAGGGGCAATAAAAGTCTATATGAAATGTATTTCAGCAATATAACTGGTCTGTTATAGTCAAGGCATGTAATTCATAATAAGTGGAGCAACACTTAAGTAAAGATAGCCCAATGGCTAGATTGTAGTTTATTATGTCTTTCTGACAAAAATGAATGAAATAGGCCAAAAAATTCACGAAGCAAAATAATGTTAGAAAACCATGGTCAATTAAGCAAGAGAGGACATTGCTTTTTCTATCATTTTCCCCATTAAACATGGTAATATTGAACATGCCAGAAAGAAAACTTTGTGATAAGAAAGGCACCATCTGTATACAGATTAAGAATTCATGTTCTGAAAATCATGACATTTTACTAATTCTTCTAGCCCAACTTTGCTATAAATAAACAGTTAGGGTCATTTTTATACCAAACATACTGGATCTCCTGCATGATTAACATTAGTGTCAAATAGTATCTACAATCCTGACTAGAATTCTCAGAGGTTGGCATTAAAACTTTCTTTCTATATAATTTAGAAGTTGCAAAGAGAAGGCAGCAAGTATCCAAGTTAAAGAAAAACTGTTTGGCTTGAAAGTGTTTTAAAGATGCAACTGAAGCAGAAAAATGCCACAGTTCAGAGTCACCAATGTTTTACAAAAACCAGACTATTAGTCAAGTTCTATTATTTGGGGGCAGGATTATCTGCACTCTCCTGGGTAAATGAAGCACTGCAAGGGATTCAGATTCTCATGATCATTATGGTAATAAGGCACAGACAACCATTTTCACATATAAGAAACTTTAGTATACAGACTGGCAGACTTAACAGCAGTAGTTCTAGCAGCAACCTAGTGCAAGACTTTTCATGCTCTTTGTTGTATCACACTATTGCTTAGGTAGCAATACATGTACAAGTAAACTATGCTATCTTTCACTCATTTCTCACTCTCAACTGTATAATATTACATGCGACTTAACCTTCAGCACAAGAAAGCATTTATCAATCAAATACATAAGACATCCCACCTCTGAGTGTCGACCAGGTATTGACTTACTTTTGGTGTTGGGCAGGAAGCAGTGGAGAGGCGAGAAGTGGCTTGGGCACGAGGAGATTCTGAAGGGGTAGTGCTAAGTGAAGCTGTGTCTCGTGGAAGCACCTGAACACCACGAGATATGATGGAATCTGGAATCTAAATATGAGAATATAGTGAATTATTTTGTCTATAAATAATAATGATTTGCAAAGTAGCTCAGTATCTATATAGGCAGATCTAAAAATAAATAAAAATATAATTTCCCCCACATTCTCCCATCTATCCTTAGGCAACATGACAGCAAAGGACCTATTTCTGGTTGTCAACTGCCTAACCTTGGCAAAAAGGAAAAAGTGAGCAAAAGCTCAAATGACAATCTCAAGAAAGAAAAAGATCCGAAAAGGTGATCCTTCAGACTGGTTCTATAACTTTTTAACATGTGTAAGGTAAAACTTAGGGAATCACTAGCAGTGAAGCAACACCTAAAGCCAAAGGAATAAATTTTATACCATCATATTTTATACCATCATCCTTTCAGAATTGTCATCAGGCATCTCTTGGCAGTGAGAAAAACATAGAATGAAGAGCCATATGAAGATGAACTCCAAATTCTAAAAAGTGAGGTGGGAACTGCAATAAGAGAAATAGTGAAAAACAAATCACCAGGAACAGATGATATTCCAATTGAACTGCTGCAGTCCACACTGACAGTCAACTCTAGTGCTAACCAACATATGTCAACAGATATAGAAAACAAAATGATGGCCAACAGATTGGAACCGATCAATATACATCCTCATTCACGAAAATAGAGATACAAGACACTACAGCAACTATAGGGCCATAGCACTAATTTCTCACGCAAGTAAAATCATGATCAAATTTCTGCAACACAGACTCCAACTACACATGGAGAGAGAAGTCCCAGAGATCCAAGTGGGTTCAGGAAAGCAAGAGGCATGAAGGACCACATTGCAAACATAGGATGGCTAATGGAGTGCACCAGGGAATTCCAAAAGAAAATCAGCATATGCTTTATAGACTATAGCAAAGCCTTTGACTGCATAGATCATGAAAGGCTATAGAATGCCCTTAAGACATTGGAGTGCCAACACATCTGATAGTTCTGTTGAGAAATCTGTACTCAGGACAAGAGGCTACTGTCAGAGCAGAACATGGAGAAACAGAATGGTTTCCAATTGACAAATGGGTCAGACAAGGCTGTATCCTTTCACCCTATCTGTTCAACTT